AATATGAACCTTTGGGGTTTTTTTTAACAGCAAGAATGTTAAAATAACCTTTTCTATTGGGAATATTGCAGACATACTGACAACACAATGCTCGAAGATAAAGTGTTCTGTACAGTGATCTGTTATGCTTTCCTTTCATGGAAAACAATGGAAGACGTTGTTAACAAAAATTTTTTTAAGTGTTTTACCTGAACCATTTCTTCGTAGGTAATGTACATTATTCTGTCTCCTAGTTCACTGTTTCTCCAGCTCTTTACGTGGTCTGTCCATTTTCCAAACATCACTGCAAATAAGATAGAAATTGGCAAATCATTCACATGCAACCACTCTTCTACTGGTGATAACAGAAGTGCAGTTTTGATCTCTGACCTTTGCCCTCAAGAAATTTATCCATGAACTCATCAAAGGTTCCTGGATCCTCAAGGAAGCCAGCCATCTGGTGGAAGTAGTATGAAGACACCATGATGTCCTTTGGGTTCCTCATGACGTAGATCACCTACAGCAGAAAGAGTGCAAAAACATAATGAGTGTAAAGTCTCTTACACAATCAGGAACACATTGGGAATATCACACAGAGTCATTACCTTTGCTTTGGAGGCACAGAAGGAAAGGGGGCATGAGGCTGTATGGAAAATGTGAGACCAGTGCCCGTGGAGATGCCAGCTTATCCACCACCCGTGCCAGTTGTTTCTCTTCCAGCCATGGGACTCTCTCCCAGTTAGGAATGGTATGGATGGGGGTCAGATCCCCCCCATTCAGCACCAGTGGGAGGATCTCCTGCATCCAGATTGTACCTGAAGAAATAACAGTGAAATAACAATCTGTATTGGAAACTATGCCCGGGCTCAGGAACCCTTCTGAGAAACAATGCCATTGAACACAGTTTGTCATTGCACCACAACTTCAAAACAACATCCTGCCCTGCAAGGGAAAAAAGATCCAGAAATGCTGTTGTCTTCTTTGAGGCTGACTTCATCTAGCAAAGACTTAAGTGAAAGATTTTCCAGAGGTCTGACAAATCAAAATTTGAAAGGGTCGTCCAGATGATTCAACTTCTTTGACCAAGTATACGTAAAGCATGTGTACTTATACTGGATGTAAATGTACCCTCAGTACAAAAATAAAAAAAACAGCTCTTTGAAAAACATTTCTACCAGCAATTTTTGTGCTAAGCTAACTCAGCCTTACATTTGTTGCTGCTGCCTGCACTGTAGATGGGTGACTTTGCATCAACATGTAAACAGAAAAAATTAATGTAGCCCAACATTACATTAGGATTTAGTAGGTGGGGGAATGCTAAGATCTGTTGGAGTGGTGGGCATAGGGAAAAGAATCACATAAGAACAATTCCCAATGTGAGCTCCAGTAGGATTTTTCTTTGAGTACATGCTGTGATCAGCTAAGGTATGCTGCTGCTCTGAGATTCACTGTTGTTTATGGATTTAGCCAACAGAGATGCTAGATGTTACAGAGTATGAAGCTGCTATAAACGTCAAGCTCAGTGAGTGGACTACTAATAATATTCCCACCATCATTGTCTGTTAAACTGACCATGAAGCCCACAGTCTGCTCTCTACCAGTCCTACAAGGTGCATTATTACAAACAGTAAGCTAACTTGTTGAGCCTTCACTTAACTGCATAGCATTTTCATGCAACCTCTGAATGGGATACAGAGAGTATAGTCCAGTTTGTTTTTTAAATAAATGAGGACATTATGTATAATCTCTGAATTTCAAGAAATTCCCACTTTCCCCCCTGCTGTCCTGTCTTACAGCTGAGTATGAAGGTGGGAATGAGAATCAGCACCTCTAAGTTTGAGAAAGTTGGCAGAAATGGCCTTTCTCTGAAGGGAGGCTGGTCTCTCCATTAGAGATTGTGCCTCAGGGTAGAGCTGCTACTCTTCCATACTGAAAGGAGCCAGTTGAAGTAGAATCTTCTACTATAAAAGCATGCTGTAATAGCTGCAGTATGTGGTTTAGCATTATGTTGCTGAAATATGCAAGACCTTCCCTGAAAAAGATATTGCCTGGACGGCAGTGTATGTTCCTCTGAAACCTGTATATCCTTCTGAGACCAAGCCGGTTCATTTATGTGCTCTGTAATGGATATTTGCTTTTGGTCTATATCCTTTGACTTATTTGAGCTACCCTCCTAAGCCCTGATGTGCTTATTAGAGGAGTTCCTCTCCAATGGTGGGTGGTCCCTTTAGGCCAAAAAGGCAGGATATCACAGAAAAAGAGGCAGAAAATCACAGAAAAATTAAACTAAAAGTTACTTTTCTGCTCTGAAGGCACCTTTCCAGATGTGCAAGCACTCACTCCATAAGCACAGACCCCCACACCTTCAGATATGCAGGCATTAATTTGAGGAACATTTTTCTGAAACCATTCCACAACTTGTGAATGCTGTTTTCAGAAAGGAACCGCTGCCTAGCGTCATTTTTGAGAAACTCTGCCTCTCTGAGATGATCTTTTGATTCCAAGTCATGTTGCTGACGACCTGTCGCTAATTAATCAAATAAGTTTTGAAATGCTCCTCCATGTGATTATTTTTAGTGTCACTTCCCTTTTCAGTGTTCTTTTGCCCAAATCTCAGCTTTTTTGAGATGTTTTGCTGCCATCAAAATAAATTTCTTAAATATACAGGAATAAATTCCTCCATATATAAAATGTGGAAACTAAAGCTGATCAACAAAAACCATCAGAGACAACTAGAAAAGCTAAAAAGCGACAACAGATATGAGAACAAACACATACCTGACTTCGGATAAGTGATGGTAAACACATCAGTGTCTTCCACACAGAAATTTTGGGCGTACTCCAAGCTCTCCGTGGTGTGGGCCTCCAGGGGCAGGAGGAGACCGTGGTACTTAATGTACTCAGTGGCAGACATGACAGTTCTCTGGATGAGTGAGTCTTCTGTACTTTTCTCCTATCCTTCGTTAGAGACTTTCTCCTGTTACGTAGTCAGTGCCCTTTCCCTGAGCACCTCCTTATTTAATAATCTAGTTGGCATGATTGGACCATTCTCCTCCAAGTACGTATACCTTCCTGAAAGGGAACTTTGTATTCCAAACTGCTTTTATATTTCAGAGGTTGAAGCCAAGACCTAATGACCACGGGTTGGTCTCAAATAGTATACTGTCTTTTTATTCGATTACTCTTGGCTTTATGTAGTAAAACTGACTTAAAGAAAATAAAACATAAACAACCTCATGCTGCAGACATTACTGACTGGTCATAGGTTTTGAAATTTTGTTGGGTTGTAATCATCAAGTTATGTTCTCCCTTTCTGTGTCTTGACATAAAGTTGGAGTGATTGCGTGTTAGTATAATGCCTGGCTTGATATGACTCACTGGAATTCACAACCGCAGCAAAGTAGCACGACAGTGTAAACACTACAGCGTTGTTCAGCAAGCTCGTAAAAGCAAGTAGTGTGTGTGCCTGTGTTTATGTCTGTGTCTGTGACCATTGTGCCTTTTCAACAATGACAGCTTTATTGGACTCAAGGGACAACAAATGAGAGACAGAAAAAAATTGGGCCGTGTGAGCTGAACTAGCAAAAAATGAGTGAATACCATTCGTTTTGTACGTCCTCCTTTTTATTCAGTTTTTTCTTACCGAAAAACAATCCTGCGTGAAAAATGGGCTCCTCTCCTTGATGACCTATTTGTCCACATGTGATCTTTTTATTAGTATACTGGATCTGACTGTATTAATGGAAAAAGTTTCACACCAGTAGTTCTTTAGTTTATAAAGAAATACAAGTTATCCTGCATTTGGAGTGAAAGTTCAGGAATGTGTTATTCTTTGCTTGTTCCAGATACAAATTTGATTACTTTCAGATTTTTGCAGCATTCCTGGCTGCTAACTCTTTGCAGAAGACTCACTGAAATTTTGATTCATATAAGCATGGTGTGTATTTTCAAAATACAGAAAGTAAAGTTTTAAATATTATATGAGTTCTGTCTTTCATCCCAAAGACAGAATTCCTAAACACAAACTTAATAACGTAGTATATGCAGTGTTGGGAAGGTTACTTTTAAAATGTATTCCACTACAGATTACAGAATACATGCCCCAAAATGTATTTTGTAACGTATTCCGTTACGTTACTCAATGACAGTAATGTATTCTGAATACTTTGGATTACTTAATATATTATCATGCTTTTTACAACTGCATGAATGTACTGTTGCTGTGTGATTTATTACTATTACTGAAAGCCCACGGCTGATTTGGTGCAACATTTGTTGGATATGGCTCATTTAAGACAGACAATTGCTTTAGTCTACCCAATGTCCTGTGTGGGCTTCCAACCCCTGTGGTCTGACATGTAGGAATGTGTTTGCATTTGTCTCCAAGATACAGTTCATCATAAAATGTTGCTGTAAGCACACCTGTATATGCTAGCAGCTTCAAATCTGCATAGCTGTTGCATTTTAAGTTGAATATGCTTGCAAATAACTTTTCTCCAAAACATAAAAAGGCAAGGCATTTTCAAGCTTTGACTTGCTCCATAAAGTTAGCAAAGCATTTTTATATCTAGTATCCTAGCTTTTTTTTCAGTCTACCATTGCAACATCCCAGAAGGATCAACTTGTGTGAGCTCGCCTGCTGACTAAAAGCTCCAGCTCTGTAATATATAAGTGGTGATTAGAGCACATTGAGTCACTATGTACACATAATGTACAGGCTTGAAAATCAGATTAGAGGAATGCAGAGTGGCTAAAGTAGCTTGATTCATTATGAGAGAAAAAAAGCAACCCCGTTACAGATATAGGGGAATGGAGCTTTATTTGTAGGCCTTATTTTTACAAAATCCAACAGAAATGTGTCTTTTCAAAGATTCATCCATCATTCTTGTTATTACAGCTACAGCTGAAATAAAAACAAGCCTGTGTGTCTATCATACGTCCGGAGAACAATATGATGTTTAGCATTTAAAATTTGACTACTATTTCATCAAAACTATAAAAGAAGTAAATAAGACAACAAGTTACTGTTAATGACTTTATTGATCTTCTTGTTAAAATTCTCAACAACAAATTAAATACAACATTACATCCATGTTAATTAAGATTGCAGTATCATAACTTTGTATTAGCAGAAACATGTGGACTGTGCCGTGAATGTGCTATGCTCAGTAACTTTAAAAATTGTACCAGTTAAATGTCAAATACATGCAGATCCAGAATATGGAGGTCCTAGATGGCAAAAGTTAATCATATACAAGGTTAACATGCAATAAGCATTACAAACTAAAAAACAATATATATTAACCCTTTAAAGCCGGTTGGAGCGGGCACGCTCCGTTTTACATAACTATTTTTAAATCCGGGTAGCACTGCAACCACGTAAGCTAGCGCAATAATTTTTTTTGCATATGAAACCGGAGGAGTTGTACTTACATCTTATTCCATCAGCTTGCCCTAGGTCACAGTTTCCTTCTACATATAGCTTTGCAAAAACTGCATAAAAAGCACTTGTAGCAACAAAAACATAATATTACAGAAACACGCTTTGCCAATCCGATCAGCTGTTTGTAACACTTCCTACATCCATCAGCGCGAACTATCGCATGTCCGTCATGACCTGCTCGAAACCGGATGTGACGTCATTTTGCGGCAATTTAGTTTTTTACCACTAGTTCATGGCACTAGTTTATGGGCTCAAATTGTGGTTATAAATATTTTAAAATATTTATTATAAATATTTTACAAGTACGAATATTTTGTAAATCAGACAGCATAGTTGTGAACTGAGTTTTGTAACCTGTAAACCAAATATCTGAAAATTGTATGTTTGTGCATCTATGGAAGAGAATTTGTGTCAATGTAAAAGAGATTTGTATTTGTAAAAAAATATTTACACATTACAAATTTGTTTTTTAAGGTCTGGTTACAGATGCAAAGCAAAAAACTATATATTAAACTTAAAAATTTTGACCAAATTCTTCTTCCTTTCAGCTGATTGGTCAATGTCAGGTCAATCACAAATTTAACAATCCAATCAGAGACAGATGGGTTGGGCTGTCGAAGGGGTGCTTTGCTGAGCTGCAGGTCCTGGAAGGGTAATATAGTATTATAGCGGCAACCTTCGGTCCTTCTTTACCGCTTCTGCAGAACGTAAAGTTTCTGACTCGTGCTCTTGTTAAGTCTCTTGGATGCCTTCCGGTAGCAAAAAACGAGGCGAAGGAAAAAAGGGGCAAAACATTTATTTTTCTTACAAATTGAAAGGTACAAAACAAATGCCTCTGGTGGGAGCTCCGTTTATATTCCCTTTGTGTTACAACAAAAAATGACATTAAAACGGCGACGGTCAGAAAACTTTTGCTCCACGTCCTGCTTGCTTACCTAACCTTTTACCCACACCCCTCCGCATGCGGGCCAAATACACACCCCCTTTACGACATCTACCAACACTTTACAACAACAACAGACTAACAAAGCAGGATTAATTTATGGAGCACAGCATATTACATTATAACCTAAAACGATCAAGATTATAATAAAAACTTAAAGATCATGACAAATACTTAAATATGGCATGATGTAACTGAGTAAAATATTGGCCTGGACTTGGCTCCAACATATAGTTTGAAGCTGGAGGATTTCCATATGAATATTCATTATAAGCTAGGTCCCTTAACTTCCGGTAGCTGTTGAAAGGATAAAGCTGTGATATACCAGAAATCCCATTATTACTTTAGTATTACCTAACACAAAGTCAGGGCTGACCTGGGACCTGTGAGTCACACTGCGGAGCATAAAGGCCCTTTCACAACGGCATGCGCTGCACTCACCGCTAAATCAGAGCGAAGGATCCAAAATTTGTTGTGCTGGCCGATGCACTCTTTTGTTTTTTTGGGGCAGCTCTATGTATACTAGATGTGCCTCCTATAAGAAATATAACATTACTCGCGATATAGGTCTTGATTTTGTCTTTACCACTCCTGATCTCTCCGTCTCACTATTTCAGATGGTGGTCAATCCAAGCTCCATGGCAGAGAGAAGCTCTCACCTTCCAGCTCTTTGGAAATCACAGAGGTGAATCGGGTCAGTTGCTCTGAGCTGAAGTGGTTTTTCCAGTCTCCAGCAATGCCTGACAACAAAAACACGCATGTAAAGAGTCACATAAACATAAAAACACCTGATGAGAACAGAAATTGACCATGGAAGAAACTCTGAAAAGACATCTTTGATAACAAACGCGTCCAAGTTGGTGTGTTGTGTTCAATATCACTAATTTTTCAACCCAGTCAGATGTGTCATAATGGGATATGGAAACTCACCTTTTCTTAGGAAAGGAGATTTGTCATGGTCCAAGTACACCTTGGGGATCAGACTGAAGTTGGACATGTTGTTGTTCTGCATGCTCTTGAAAGAACAATGCTCTGCTACCTTCTGAATTACTTCTTCAGTCAGATTGCAGCCCAGGAAATCAGAAATACGCCTGAGAGCCGCAGGCAGGTCCTGGAAGAAACACGCTCGTTATATAATGTGAAACAGTCAGTGTTTTTTTTAAATTTGGCTTTTATTGAAAACTTATTCTAAAGTTATTTCATGAGCAAACTTTGAAAGGTCAGGGGTTTGAATAGTTTAAGTCACAATTTCAAGTTTTGGCAAGACATAAGTCTGGGTTTGTTTTGCTCAAAGTGACAAATGTGGAGGGTGCACTCCAATGTTCCCTCTAATTTTTCATGTGTCTGAGCGAACACACAAACTCCCTGCGCGGTCCCTTGGACCACTGTGAGCAACATTAGAAGTGTGCACTGTGGTCACGCCAACATCGAATCCATCCAAGTTACATGGTTTATTAAAATAATCAAATTAAAGCATTTATGTTAGACTACTTTTAATTAACTGCTTCAGCACACTGACAATGAAAATTTGAAAAAAAAAAAATCTTGTTCATGACCTGTTTAGTATGTTAACACTATTGGAAGTGAAAATAACTCTAACTCCAATTTTGAAAACACAACTTTCTTTCTTTTTTAAATAAAGCTCTGACTTGAATTATGAGTATGAGTCTGTGGTCTGGGAGAGAGTCCTGTAATTCTCTGTTTGCAAAATACAGTATATAATGACCAATGTTGGGCAATTAATTATATAGTTACTTCTTCAAAAAAGTAACTGAGTTTTGCAAACAACGGAGTTTTTTGCAGCTGTTTACCTAAAAATGTAGCCAAGGCATTTTTTAAAATAAATATTTCAAACTATTTACAGAACAATCAGCTGTTCTGCATCAAATTTGATGCCACACAAATTATTTGTGTCACTCCAAAAAATTATTTCTGTCCACTATGAGATAAAGGAGAACAACAGCCTGATACCTGCAGGCCTGACAACAGGAGATGTATCACTCCTGTAACACCTGTAACATTCAGTAGTCGCCTCATTGTTCTGACACACACAACAAAACTATTGACTACACTACACACTAACTATACAAGACAACACGCTAACTACACAAGATTTGTGCTAAACGTCGCAAATCACTCACCTGGCAAAACACTGCGGTCACTCCTAAAACTTCCCCCCTTCCTAAACAATAAATGCCATGTTGCCATATCATTTTTGATTGGTCAACATGGTCAATATTTTTCGACCAATAGGAAAGGGTGGGGGTTTTTTTTGGTTTTGTTTTTGCTCACAGGCTTTCGAGCGTTTTCCTTATAAAACACAGTTGCACATTGCATATCTTTTTATCATAACTCTGGTTTTAGGTGGCCTATCAACACAATTTAAAAACTGGTATAAAGTCCATACTTTTTCCGTCAATTGTTTCGTCTGTCCTGCTCACATCTCCAATGGTTGTACACGTTGTCATTAATGTGGCTTCACTCCACATCAGCCACGCCGCTTTGCTAGCTAAAACACCGGTGTCGGCACATAAGGACGCTGTCATAGCCTGTCAACCACATTGATTAGCTGCGAATGTAAATGGCATTATTGGCTGGACTATGGAATATGGTGGCATCGTTCTAATCCCATACAGGAGCAGCCAGTCACTCACTGACTAACACTGCAAAACAGAATTGTTAAAGTTTTAATTTTAATTTCAATTCAGGTTAGATTTTTTTTTGGGCACAACACAGATTTTCTGTGCGCAGAGACCGTGCCAGCAGTGCGCAATTGTGCATGTGCGCAGCTTAGAGGGAACATTGGTGCACTCGGGCCTTTAGGTGGAGCATCAAAATATGTGGGAAATTGTGTCTCAAAACTAGGGATGGGAATTTAAACATGTAAAATAATTTATTAATATAATTTAAATAAAAAACAACGCATTTAATCACACTTTGCATTTCAAGCAAAGGGGAACTTTTGTCAATGCACAATTTCCTGGAATACCAACTACACTAATGCACACATCAGATGTACAAAAAGGGAGAAGAAGAACGCGCATTGTTAGGACTGATCGGAGGCAAATTTCATTTCAAAAGACTACCTGACAGAAGCCTTGATAAAAGCATGGTTTTGTGCAAGCTGTCCAAAAAGGAGTTTCCGTACCACCGAAGCACCTCAACCTTACGATACCATCCAAATTCAAAACATGTTGCAGGAGGCACAGAACCTAGCACTGGCAGTGACAATAAAACATATGAACAGTCCAAATTTGATGAAATGACTGGCCCCAGAACCAAAATTAGTAAGCCAATATTGGACAAACTTACCAACTCTCGCATAAAAGGATTGCTCTGGACTGTAGACTACTATCAGTGGTAGAAGATAGGGGGTTAGAAAATGTGCTACAGTTAGCATCAGGTGATCCAACTTTCAACTGCTGTGCCGAAAGACTATTTCAAGTAAAATTGAACAGCCTTATGATATTGAAAGGGAAGCAAAATGAGATGCATTACAGACACCCCTGCTAATATGGAGGAACTACACCAGGAGCAAACAAGACTGGGGCAACAGAAAGAGCCACTCACACAGGATGTTACTACACGGTCAAATGATGGTGTAAACCATGATGTTGAAGAGCAGCAGTAAGGTGACTCCTGTGCGGATGGCGAATTCAGTCGACTGCTTGTTTCGGATGCGAATTTGGCTCAATGATCCATTCTAATTTTCCTGTAGGAGCTTAATTACTTTCGGTGGGATGTGCTCAGTCTCCAGTGTCATCCAAAGTGTTGCCCAATCGATGCAGTCGAATGTAGGCTGAAAGTCAATAAAGATGATGACCGTCCGTTTCCCACATAAAATTTGCTCCTCACCTGGCAAATACTGAACATCTGGTCACAGGACCCGCGATGAGATCTGAAGCCGGCTTGCTCTTTGCGGTTCGTCTGTTCGCGATGTTTCTGCAGGCATGATTGAATTACTTTCATGAAGACTTTTCCACTGATGGCCTTCTCCCATGTTCTTGGAATCGTCTCTGTGCGCCACATTTTTTTGCGGAAGAAGGTGCACTTGTTGGAGAAGAACATCACCGCCAGCCTTGATCGATTCCGCTGTAATTGCATCCACACCAAGCGCTTTTCCATTTTTCAAAGTCCCGATGGCTGTCTTCACCTTTGCCAGGGTTGACTCATCATCGGACCATCGGGGTCTCTGGTGCTTCGATGGGTGGCGGCTCTGCTGGTGGTCCTTGTGGCTCCGTCCAGCACTGTAACCGCTCAGTTGATGATCATACAAAGGTGCCATCAGCCTTTCAGATGTTGTCATTTGTTGATTTGGTTTTTCTACTCAGGCATCAGAGCATTCGATAAATGGTGTGGCACTCATGCTTTGAGGCCACTTCCTCCAAGTCAGCCACTACTTGGTTCCAGTAAGCCTCGCGTTCTTCCTTCAATCGACCAGCTTCACATATTTCGCTTCATCTACCATATCGAGACATTCGTCGGATATCTACGGCTGTGTTCGGCAGCGTGTGGGATGGCACAGGTCTTTGGCGCTTTCCATGATGACGTCCAAAACTTGTTGCTCTTTGACGTTGACATCTTCGGATGGCACCAATGCAGCAAAATGGCTGGATAATGCTATTTGAAATTCTGCCTTGTAAGCGGGATCTGACAGGCATTTCCAGTTGAGCTTTGCCAATGGGTGCGATTTGCATTTGGCTCTTTGTAGTAGAAGATTTATCACGGAAACAGGAGTCAATCAGGATGTAATCCAACATCGCTGAGTCATCACCTGTTGGATTTTGCCATGTGAGTTGATGTTTCTTTGGATGTTAAAATTGGGTGTTTTTCCGATGATGAAGTTGTTGGTGTTGGCGAAGGACAAGAGGCGCAAACCGTTGTTGTTCATTACACCATGTCCAAAATGACCCGACCCCGTGCTCTCCCACCCAGTCTGATTGAATCCAACGTGTGTTGTAGTTGGTTATAGAAATTGTTCTTGGCCGGGTCTGGATTTGTCTCGGTTGGTGTGTAGATGGTAATGAGGTGGGTTTTGATGCTACCGTTGATGGTGAGCACTACAAGGCGATTGGAGATTGGCTGGAATGAGACAACACTCTTGACTGTGCGACGGGCAACCATGAAACCAACTCCTGCTTTTCGTTTTTCTCCACCCGAGTAGTAGAGTGCCATCTGGTCATCGTTGAGTGATGGTTTGACGACCGTCTGCCCTGATCCTGTGAGTCATAATTTGGATAAAGCTCTGATGTCGATTTTGCAGTTCAGTAGTTCTGGCAATGATTTCAAATTTGTATTTCCACTTTCGGTGTGATGATGTTTCGGTTCCTTCGGCCAGTAGCCCACTTCTCACCAGCATCCTTGTTCCCCAATACTGGCGCATCGGCTGCCCCGGATGCGGTAGCATTAAACAAAGAATTTAGGACATTATTTTCTTGAACTGTCTACTACAGGTTTGTGACTGAGCTTCTTGGAGGTGAGCCATATGTCTTATATTCCGTGGTTTTACCTGCTTTCTGCCACCTGCGTCACACCATGGAGGTCTCCAATGATAACTCAAACTACATGGTGAAATTTAAGACTGCCTTCACAAAGGACCTATCCCAGCGTGTAGCTACACTCAATCATCAGTGGCTCAAGATAGCTACTGTGCTTGACCCACGCTTTAAGGATTTAAAGCATCTTGCAAGCGGAGAGCGAGAAGAGTTTTGGACCAGCCTTGAAGCCCTGCTGCAGGAATAGCGTAAAGATGCCACCACAAAGGAGGCAGCAAAGACAATGGGCCTCCTCCTCTCTTCTTTGTCTTCAGACTCTGATTGAGATGAGGATGCCCTGTGCAACAGGGCTCTGAGTTTGTACAGAGCAGAATCCATCATCAGCGAGACAGACTCCCCGCTGCAGTGGTGGTCCAGTCGAGCAGAGACCCACCCACAGCTGTCTGGCCTGGCCTGGAAGCGATGATGATGATGGTTATGCATTTACCTGTCACTTGCAATGTTTCATGTACATGTTACCTGCAGTGAAATGGGTCCCCTTCTAACTATATACACTGCAAAAACATCACATTGGGAAGACGGGTCAGAGAGCTGTCTTCCCAAAGGATGATAAGAAAAACAATGAAATGCACAATACATGAGGGGAGAGGAGGAGAAAAGCAGACTGAGCTCCTGAGAGGAGAGCAGTTTGAGAACAGAAAAAAACAATAATAACCACTGCAGCCAAGAAGAGTGCCTGACGAGCCCGGTTGTAAGTAAGCTATTAAGACTCGACTGTACACTGTGTTCGTGTTTTCCTCCGAAACAATAAGTTCCGTTGGAGCAGCCTTTCAACGCTTCTCTCTGTCTCTATTTTTCGGCTACGAGCCCGACTCGGAACCGACGTATTAGCCAGAGGTCCCTTTACTACGGTTCGGAGCCACGGACCTTCAGTAATAGTAATAAATCACACAGCAACAGTACATTCATGCAGTTGTAAAAAGCATGATAATATATTAAGTAATCCAAAGTATTCAGAATACATTACTCTCATTGAGTAACGTAACGGAATACATTACAAAATACATTTTGGGGCATGTATTCTGTAATCTGTAGTGGAATACATTTTAAAAGTAACCTTCCCAACACTGCCTGGGGCACAATCTTCCCCGATCATAACATTGCAACCAGGAAGCAGCAGAGGTGAATAAAAGGCTGAAAAAACTATTTCTTTCTATGATGTTCTAGCTGACTACTATGATTTATGTTTGCAAAAATTCATGTTATTTAACCAACAGATTTGTATATTGTAGAGCTGGGCGATAGAACGATAACGATATGTATCGCGAAATAACCTTTTCTCGATAGAAAAATTAAACTATTGCGATAGGCCTCACCGCTCTTGTCCTCTTAAAAAAAAACAAAAAAAACAGCCAATCCAAATTAAGTAGTGCAGAGCCGAACCAATCGCAGCCGCAGCGTCACGTCACGTGACTTGTTACGTACAGCACAAGTGCCAAGCCGCACATGTGTATTTGTTTTGGGAAGCAGCCAGCCGGCGTGCTGCCCGTATAATGGAGGAAATGAGTGTGCCGACTAGAGAAAAATCAACCGAGAGCGTGACCGAAGGTTACCGAAGAGAAAACAGATGATGGTTCCAATTAGGGCTGAACGATTATGGAAAATAATCTAATTGCGATTTTTTTGCCCCAATATTGCGATTGCGATGCGATATGCGATTATTTTTTAAGGTCTTTGTCTTCTGTATTATTAAACAAAGACAAGCAATACATCATATAGTATGGCCAATACTATATTACATTAATTTTAAACTGTTCTTTCCTGGAAGACAGACCTCTGTTATGATGACATGAGGTGATGCATGAATTGATGACTGACATTTTTATTTAACTTCTTCAATCACAACAGTATATTTGAACATACACAATAGTTTATTTTTAGCTTACAAACATCTGAGCATAAAGTGCTGACAAGGAACCCTGGTGTAAACATTAAAATGAAAGTCAGTACAATGTGCAGATTGCAGAAATATACATAAAAAAAATCAGTGGCTTTACCACACTCAGTTTTTCGACATCTGTGAACTACTAGACAGTCATTCAATTAAAAAATAATATTAAATAAATAAAACTAATAAATAAAAAATACACACATCTTACTGATCTCTGCAGTCAGTAACATTACACATAAAGTGCAAACATAATAGCAATTGTATAAACACACACACAAACACGCCTTTAAAATTTAAAGGCGTGAAATTGGACGGTCTAGCGGCTAGTTCTGATTAGCGTCACCGCTGTCTCGGTGGAGTTTAATAAACTCGGCCGTCTGCTTCTTGCTATCTAAAATATAACCAGACACTGGTGTAAATTCTCGACTGTCTCATACTTCTGTTTAATAAGTTTTCTGTTTGACGTTTAGTCAGCTGTGTGAAAACCAAGGAGGAACCCACCCGGGGGATTAATAAAGTTTTATTTTATCTAATCTAATAACTTTAATCTCAGCCAAACCGATTTACTCACGAACAAACAAAACACTGAAAAAAGCCCAACAATAACATTTTAGGTTGTCTAAGTGACTTATATATTACGTTTAACCCGAGCAGCGAAACTCCGCGGTGATCTGAAAATGATGTGCCGGGAGTTGTGCCGTTCTCGGCCGCATCAGTAACCCTCGAGCTTCCGGCTAGCTGTCGAGCTAGCGGAGGGTAGCAGACGCCTCTGAAAACGTCGAAGCACTTTTGCAAATATGGGATATCTTGATAAACCGAGCAGATATTTGATGTTTACACAACTACTTTCTCGCCTGAAAATATGTTAAAAGTTTATTTTGTGACCCAGAAAGATTAGTATGAGTAATTTTAAAACTTAGTAGCGGCCGCCATTGCTGGAAACTGGAGTTTGGCTGGGCCGCGCTATGAATTCTGGGATATGGTAGTAATTTGGACAGCCTTCGGCGCGTCGCTGTGACGTAATCGGTCTACAAATGCGGCCTCAGGAGGATGCAGCCCATGAATTTGGACATGTCCAGAGTATAATCGCAGCCTTTGCGGTTAGAAAATTGCACTTGATCATGTCGCGATATTATCGCAAATGCGATATATCGTTCAGCCCTAGTTCCAATGCCGGAGAGATTGTCGAACGGAAGAGCCATAGAAGTTCCGTAGTGTGAAGGTATTTCGGCTATTTCAAGTCTGACAAAAAACAGAGTAGCGCGCACTGTAAATTGTGCCGAAAGCAAGTCTGGAAATACAATAAAGCGGTGCATGCTCATCTCTGACTGGAAGCGCTAATTCGTCATTCGGCTTTTGTCAGACTAAAGTAACTGTTAAAACTGTTTGAAAAGCTAAGCTATACAACAAGGAGAGATTGAGAATTTCCTTTTAGTTCTCAGTTTATTTGATATTGACAAAAGTTAGTCATTTTGTCTGTTCTTCTGTAAAACAAACTAAGATTTATTTTTAGAATTAATATTTTGTTTCTAAGTGGAATTGACAATTTAGTCTGTTTCGTTTGTTCTATTTTGAAACTTAAACGCTTTAGCGGCTGCCTTTTGTGTAGTTTGCAATATTTGCCTTTATTTATCTGAAAAAGTCTCATGTTCCTTAAGTACATCTACCCTGTTGAACTTATTATGGGAAATAAATATTTAAATAAAAACAAGCTGCTGATTATTTCACATTTTACTTGTGAGCAACGGCACATTTAAATCTTACAAATATAGTTATTTGCTTATATCGTGATAGATATCGTTATCGCCTGAAATGAAAAAAACATATCGTGATATGAAAAAATCTCATATCGCCCAGCTCTAGTATATTGATATAGATCGCTTTCTTTACTTGTATATTGTAGGCGAATGCCGTAGTGACGAGGTGCAGGCTGAAGTTGAGCAAGACAACTGCACCCACAAATACACACACAGCTAACAACAGCTGCTCATGTAATTCAGCTGATGACCTGATAATGAATAAAAGTTTCAACAGTCCTCCAATTACTTTCTGTTTACTTCAATGCAGAATATGACAATTGAAAATATAACAAGAGAAAGTGTGAGTTAAAATATTTATTCTGTGCAGGTAATGGCAGCTCTCTGTTACACCTGTCTCTCATAGTGTGCACGCACACACTGACAGTGCGGTGCACTATGAGACACTGTGTCTGGTAGTTTAGTAAAAAAAAACCAAAAAAAAAAAAAACCTCACATGAAATACTTTCCTTTCAGTGAAAACATTGGAAGTGTTTTACCTGAGCCATTTCTTCATATGTAATGTACATTATTCTGTCTCCCAGTTCACTGTTTTTCCAATTCTTCACGTGGTCTGTCCATTTTCCAAACATCACTGCAAATAAAGCAGACATTGGCTGACCAGTTACAGATCCAACCACTATTGTGATAGAACTTGCAAATATTGATTTTCTTGCATGTCTCCTCTTGTGCATATGTGATCTCTGACCTTTGCCCTCAAGAAATTTATCCATGAACTCATCAAAGGTTCCTGGATCCTCAAGGAAGCCAGCCATCTGGTGGAAGTAGTATGAAGACACCATGATGTCCTTTGGGTTCCTCATGACGTAGATCACCTACAGCAGAAAGAGTGCAAAAACATACGTGTGTGTAAAGTCTCTTACACAATCAGGAACACATTGGGAATATCACACAGAGTCATTACCTTTGCTTTGGAGGTACAGAAGGAAGGGGGCATGAGGTTGTAGGGAAAATGTGAGACCAGTGCCCGTGGAGATGCCAGCTTATCCACCACCCGTGCCAGTTGTTTCTCTTCCAGCCATGGGACTCTCTCCCAGTTAGGAATGGTATGGATGGGGGTCAGATCCCCCCCATTCAGCACCAGTGGGAGGATCTCCTGCATCCAGATTGTACCTGAAGAAATAGCAATAAAAAAAATTTATGAGTATGAGCTACAGGTCTTCAAGTATAACTGCATAACAGGTTAACAGAAACAATAGTGGGAACCGGTGCTTAGTATCAGGAACGCTTATGAAAATCGGTCTTAGTAAATGTGAGCACAGTTTGTAACTGCTCTCCAATTAAAGATCCTGCACATCATACACACACATGACTGCCAGGTGCAGTGCTTTCCATCATCTCAACATACTCTTTTCACTTGTTGGTATATTTCATCTCTATCATTAACCATGCTAATCTGCTGGACATCCTTTCTACCTTGTCTTGACTAGCCAGTTGTTACAAGCCCCATTTTCTTTTCTTAGTGTGCAGCCTCACATACAACTCATTATAAACCATTTCCTTTCACAAGCGCTCTCTTTGCTGTATGACAAGCTCCCAGTACTCAGGTCTTTCTTCACTTTGGATACTTTCCTGTAGTTCTTCTTTTCACAACAAGTCTACTTGTTGTTTGGAAACTATCCAGAGGATACATTCTGCGCAGTTTTCCCAGACATCTGATAACCCTTGCCTTCCACCCAGAGCTATCTTAAATCCTCTCCGAACTCTATGCAACATTCTTTGCTCTTCAACTTCAGCGACTCATCTGCCTAGCTACATTCTCACCTGCCACTACCTTGCAGACTCCCATTTCCTTCAAACTGCACATTTTATACACTTTTATACATCCCTCTATGTTCCTCCCTCTTCTTGAAGTACGTGTTCACCGCAGCCATTTGCATCATTTTTCACAATATCATAACAGTTGACACACGGCTTTGGAGTGACTGGAAAAACTTTGCATAACTCTTGCATAGTGCACAGTATCTAGGCTTACTTAACCACATATATAGGTTTATGCAGTCTCTAGCCTTCAAAGGCAAACTGGTAATAGTAAACATTCAGGTTGAGCAGCAAACTGTTCAAGGACGGTGTTGTGCCAAAAAGTGATTGCCTGCCAAAAATTGATTTCCAATGTTTCTGTGTATTTTTTATGTGTAATATCTTTACGTATGTTCGTAAATAGACTTTGGTGAACAGGGTTTACAAAGGGGTTATATATAGAATTTAAAAATTATCTGTTTTTCAAATATCTTTACAACTCTGTGTTATTGTACTTACATTATAACCAATTTGGTCGTTTATCCCCACTTAAAATATTTTTACAGAACTATTGTAATATTTGCTGCCATTTCTGTTGTCCTCTTGGCCAGCTTACTCTTACAAAAGACATTTTTTAATGTTAATGACATTTTTTTAACTGCATAAATAAAGGTTACGTGAAAGTCACTGCCAAAAACTGATTGCGGCTTCTACCTTCTTACACTAATATTGTTTGTGGCTCAAGATGACTTTATGTCATCCATAAGGGATGCATTTGACATCTGTTTCACATATTATAGGCCAACACTTATAGCAGTTTAAATTCGAGCAATCAGTTTTGGCAAATACCGGAAATCACTTTTTGGCAGAACAACTGTTGTACTGTACAACAACTGTTGTATTGTACGACAACGGCGTACAATTCACTCGCGAACCTCATTTATTTTCACCCTCACCCGCAGTCTCTGCGTGCTCTGTCTGACACCACTTACACAGATAAATGCGCAGGTGCAGCGTCTATCATCAAATTCTACCGTCACAAAGGTTTAGTCATCAGTTTTCTGTGAAGTAAAAGCCGCTTGAGTGTTTTACAGAAGCTCTCACCTGACTTCGGGTAGGTAACAGCCAGGACGTCGTCGTCTTCAAACTTGAATCCCTGAGCAAACTCCAAACTCTCATAAGAGTGAGTTTCCTTGGGCACAATCAGTCCGTGATAGTGCAGGTACATCTCCTCGGAAATCGACATTTTTCGAAGTATGCAGAGAAAGTGTAGCTGTCAGTAACCGTCGTACTTCCCCGCCACGTTCACGCACGGTGGGAAATCACAGAGGAAGCGAAAATGCAAATCAAACAGTAAATATTTACTTTCCTCGTGCCCAGTGCTTGATTCCTTAAACATCTCCAAAGTTATTTATTATGTTACTTATGACCTCAAAATTACTATTCAGACTAATAGCAATTAACTGTCCCACAATCATGTCGAATAAAGTAATAGCCAGATTTTACAGGGTAACATGAAGGCAGCACGTGATTTTCTGTATGGCGCCTGATTTACAATTAGGTTTTGTTCGATACAGCAATTGACCTGATATCAATGTATATATATATATATATATATATACATTAATATCAGTGACCAGCCTTATGCTGCAGACATTACTGACTGCAGCATAAAGCTGGATCACAGGTTTTTTAAAAATTTGTTAAGTTGTAGCCTTCAAATTTCCTCTGTGTTTCTGGGAAAGTATCAGAATGTTCTCCCTTCTTGTATCTTGACCTTATCTTGGAGTGGGTCAAGGGCGTAGATTTGGTTTTGGCATTGGTGGGGACGGATGATTCAACCACTGAACGCTGCCCTGTTTCTTTTTTTCCTTTCTGTCTTTGCTTCTTGATTAAAAAAAAGGAGAAATATACTTGCCTACATATGCTATTCTGCATGCTTTTAAACCATTTAAAATTGCAGTTCATAGTTTTATATGTGAATTATATAATGTTAAATTACTATAAAAACAAATGACTGACTAAGTATTTTAGGCTTTAGTTTACTTCAGCCATATTCCATATAAATCAGGTATCATACAAACATAAAAATAGCTTCAAATACAGTCATGACAATAAAAGAATATGACTTTAAGGACTTAACAACATTAGTTCAGTTATAGTACACCAACATCTCTAACACATTAGCACTAAGGGAACACTGAATGACCTGGTGGTTTTTGTCCATAAAACTGCTGACCACAAAGCTGACCACAAAGTAAAAGATCTCTCAGCAAAATTATGCAACATTTTAGGCACACTACACTATTGCCCCTATCAAATCAGTGAGCTGGGATTTTTTATTCTAAACATGAACTACTGTTACAGCAACAGACATGGACTACTGGTGCCCTACACAACAACTCAATGTCCACTTTGTGAAGGAGCCGAACACATGCCTGCTCCTCTCGTTAACTGAGATAAACTGCTGGCTTATTTGTTTTACATCTATACTGTCCCACTCTCCTGGTGGACCCTAGCCATCTTTTTAGTCTTCTGAGAGCACTGAAGCTTCTTTCAGGCTCAGTACATGCATTTTATCCTCAGATTAAAATTATTATTCTGTGCTTGATGTGCCTCACCTTTGGCCCTGGCTCTTCCCCTCTGACTGCACTAGGACATATTGCTACCTGATAAAATAACACATTGATTTGTGCCATATAAAAGTCAGACATGTCAATTCAGATTCTTTGTCAAATATACACTAATGAATCAATTTACATCAGCAGCCTAACAATTGTCATGATAATAAATACTAGTTAATCTATAGCACCAAATCTTCAGTCAGTCACCTGTGACCTCGCCTCTTCACCTCTGTCCGAGCTACAACATGGCAGAGCTGCCTCTGTCACCTGATGAATAACAGTGAGACATTCCAAATACATGCAGTCACACATGTGCTTCAAATACAGTAATGAACCACCAAGTCATCATCCAATGTCACCTGTGATTCTTGTATCACCATTACTCTCTATCACCTGACAAATAGGACATACATGACAATAAGAATAAAATGTGTAGCTGCTTCAGTGTTTCTGTCAATTTGTGCAGATCTTGACTCATCAGTAATGTTTGTAGGGTGAGTGCATTTTTATAACAATTTGTGCAAACTGCACTCCAAGGTGGAATATTTGCAAAAGCATGACTACCTCATGATATTTTGCCTCAAAAATGAACCCTATAAATATGTCAGTGCCATTAGGAAGAAATTATTGTGTCACCAACATTTTAATGTTAGACATATAATTTTAACAGGCTCTGTAAACTAATATCCTGTTATCACACAATTCTGTGTGATAACTGGAAAAATTGTCTCTTTCTCTTGTTCCTTGATGACCTTTTTATCTCCATCTGATCCTCATCTTGATCTGATTGATTTACTAATGGGGGAATGTTTAATACTTGCAGTTCTTCAGTATGTAAAGAACTACAAGTTATCCTGCATTTTGAGCCAAACTTCAGGAATGTGTCATCCTCTGCATGTTCCAGAAGCAAATTTGATTACTTTCACATGTTTGCAGCATTCCTGGTTGTTAAGAGGTGAATTTTTCATAATAACAACCAGACACATAATAATAATAATAATAACACACATAGAGATACAAGTACAAATACACCAGGACTAATATTTGGGTAAATGTCCATTAGCAATTACCACCTAAACCAGGCATTTTTGGTAGTCAAAAAGTTGGTTAAATTGGTTGGTTTTATACAGACCCTGCTTTTAAGCATAGTCCTCAGATTTTGGGGAATGTTAACCTTCTTCATCCGTTCCAGTTTTGATGTGTGGTGCGATTTTAAAAGACCGTTCAGCTCATTCAGAACCACTTATTAAAAGATTTGAGTTTATGCCTACATTTCACCTATGCATCTGTACTTTTGACTGTGTGGAAGAATCCAAAATAAATTCAAACTTGACCACGATTCTTTTTTTTTAAGACACTAAAGATCAAAGCCCATGGTATTCATGTCCATGATGAGCGTATGTACCTTATGACCACAAGTGTATCTTTCTACAAATCCAGTCAACCAATCATGCAGCTGTGAAGTATTTTAAGCTTTTACTGTTATTATTGTGAGATTGCACTAATGAAAGCTAAAATCAACACGTAAAACTCTTAACTAGAAAACTAGCATGTAAAACACCAACTAATCCATTTAAAATATTTAATGAAATCCTTCTAATAGTATAATAAATATTCAGTTCAGGTTTGCAGGTTGACTGGAGCCTATCCCAGCTTCATTGGGCGGCAGGAAAGGTGCATCCTGGAAAGATCATCATTCTATAGCAGGATTAGCAAAGAGAGATAGCCACCTATGGGCAACTTAAAATCACCAATTAACCCAACTACACTAACTGGATGTCTTTGGCACGAGAGAGAAAGCTGGAGTATCTGGATAGAACCAATACAAACAAGGACGAAAACGCAACACGCTGGATTTCAACCAAGGACCTTCTTGCTGAAAGTCAAAAGTGCTAACCACTACCACTCAACCCCTCTCATTTCACAAAAAAACCCCCAAAAATCTGTGGTATAGTGATGTGCGGATCGATACTGAAATATCGATTCCTCCGATACCAGTCATTTATGTTCTTGAATCAATTCTCATATTAAAATATCGATATTTTAGTAATTTAGGGTAAATTTGTAGTTTATCATTAACAGGAACACAGTGGAAAGAAACTATATCATTCGGATTGTCTACATTGGAAGGAACTACTTCCTCTTCTGCCTTTCATAGTCATATGTGAAATATGGCTGTATAAATGTGTTGCAGCCCCTTGGCATGGCACTCACAACAATGGCTGAGCGTGAATGGAGTCATGTGTGGACGTATTTTACCTCCACAAACAGCCGAGACGTGGTTTG